CCTTTCTGAAGCTATGGTGCCACATTACCTTTTAAAATTAAAATAAAACCCCCAATAGAAATTTCAATAGCATGTCGGCTCAATTGATTATTACTAAATCATGTTGAAAAATTGAACTCAACCTTAGAAACTAAAATGCCTAAACTATTCATCTGCATTTGAGAATCCCTATATTGATCCCATACATTGCATATAGCACATAGCACGAAAGAAAACAAACACCCCTATGAGGGGTAGGGTTACCCTATCCTAGTTTTGAAATGATCTAGGGTTTTACTATTCAAACAAACATTATCATACATCCTAGAAATGGGAGAGCATCCTATCCTAATTTTGGAAGGTACTATGGCTCATTATATGTACAAGGTTAGCTCTACTCTACGGATTAAAGTCAAGGTGACATTATGAAAGAGTCCTTTGGGTAATAACCAATGAAGTTCCTAGGAAGTCGAAAAAGTCAATATAGCCTCTCTTCGAAGTCTAAGAACCTTAGATAGCTGAGCTACCATTTTGACTGATCTTAAAAGGTCATTAACACAGGGTCTCAAAAGTAATATAAAGATAGGTATAGTGTCACAAAAGCTTGCATGTGCTCCAACCAGTATCTGGGCAACACAGGAACATTAAGTGCACCAATGCATGCAATGCCATAAATAATGAACATATAAGTGAAAATAAAAGGCATATCATGGAGTTCGAGTCAATGTTTCATAAAATTCCCAACAGAGTCGCCAAAAACTATAGCATCGCCTGGGGGGTACCCGTGCGTATTTAAATAGTTCGGACGCTCAATTCTTTGATCTAGTCTCATGAGTGCAATATGAAACATAGATGAAAGTCTAGATTTGGAAACTTTTGTAGAAAATCCATTTTATTACAAAGCCTTTGCCAGAAATGGACTACATCACCAGATCGTAAAGTCGCCACCTAATATTTTGAGAAAATTAAAAAACTCATGACTCATGCCAAGGCCACTGTTCGTCGTAACCAATGATGCTTGGCTCGGAACCTTAGATATGAGAGGGAAAGGTCATTAATTAAGCACTCCCGCTCACCTGATCAAAATCAACCTCTACTAAACCATGATATGAATTTTGTTAACTTTATATGCCCATTTTTCGATTATTCAATAAATTCTAAAATTTTCTATGTAAAGAAAAAAAGTATAGACTATGCCATTCATTTTGGAACTATCCGATTTCATGTATTTTGAAAAAGTTTTGAAGATGTACAACTCAAAAAAATTAAGTTCACAAACATGAAAAATCAACATCATTCCAAATTATGCGACACAACCTCTATTCACCGGCATTCATATAGTTATATCAAGTAAGCAAGTAGCCACATGGTAGGATGCCAAACATAATAAGAAAAACACACACAAGTGGGATGCTAAAGTATAAAAACTTACATATTTACCGTCTTGTGAACAACTACAAGACAAAGATAGCAAAATAAGCATGATCTTATATACAAAATCCTAATGCAATTCACTCGTGAGATGCAACTAAAGATTCGACTTCTAATGTTTGACATGTGAATCATCTCAAGAACATGAGGTAACGCACATAATCACATAGGAATTGATTAAATCCATAAATACAAACTTGGTCGAATCAAGATGCATAAAACATAGATTCAAAGCATGGATATAATAAGAAGCAAAATATGATGCTTATGTATAAATAAGGAAAGCAAGTAAAAAAATGAGATAGAAAGAATCAGGGCGGGGAATTATTACAACACTTTGAATAAATAATTACAAACTGAATGTGAGAGAGAGAGAGAGAGAGAGGGGAAGAAAATATTACAACAAAATAACAAATAAAAAACAAAACCTCACAAAACACTCAAATGAAAATAAAATAGAAGTTTCAGGGAAACAATCATGTTCTATGCAGGGCAAATACTTTGTTCTAAGTTAGCCGGCCGACCAACTAGGCCTAGCAAAACTTGTCTTGTTGAAACACCGAGAAAAGAACAAACAAGGAATATGTAGGTGGCTCAACAAACCACTTCCAGTTAAATTACAGCAAAACCAATATGACATTAAAGCAAAAAATAAGTTTAAGATAGAAAATACAAGAAAATGAAAGAATTGAAAATTCACCTTCTAATGAAAGATTGAACTGCTTGATTTTCAAACTTCCTTTCGATCACCCTTAAGGTTATGAATTATGTTCTCAATCCTCAATTCAAAAGCTTGGAATTTGAGCTATACCAGTGGCTTCAGAGAAGTGTAGGAAATGATTGCTCGGTTCTTAAACTTGGCAAAGACTACTCTCTCTCTCTTTTATCAAAACTGCAGGACTTGGTTTCAATGAGTTTCTTGGGAGGTTTTTGTAATGAAAGATGAGATAAATGAGAGCTAAAGACAACTTCACTACTTTTGGCAAGATAATACTCTTGTTTTTAAAGCTTTCTTCTCTTTCTAAAACTCTATTTCAAACTCATCATTCCCTCTACACTTCTTCTTGCAAATTCACCTCTCTAAATTCAAGACTTGAGCTCTCCTTATATAAGCAATGCAAGTGGAGCAATGGTGGAAGACAAAGTAGAGAACTAATGGAGTGCAAATGGAGTTAACGGAAGGCAAATATGGAGTATTACCCTTAATAGATCAAGCACTACAATAGAGGCTAAGTATACATGCATTTGGTGCAAAAATGAGTCAAAAAATGGGATGGTGGTGTGCAATACCTGAACCAAACAAAAAAATCAATCTGCACTGTCCTTGGGTGGTTGACCAACCGAACGATCAGGCGGTCAACTGACCAAGGAGAAAGTTGGCCGTTTTGCTTTGGTTCAGTCCAGCTTCGCGCCAATTGTCCGACGGGGCTTAAACACTTGACCAAAGCAAGCTTAGGATTGGGAACAAAGCTCAAATTCCATCTTTTTACTAAGGATTTTGTGGGAAACACCTGCTTATTTTCATCTTTAGGTGATAAAAAAAAATGCCCAAGTCTTAGAGTTGGTCAAAATAGGGTGTATAATTTGTTATAATGCTTGGCCACGCTTAAGGAATGCCACCCTATGATGTACTCGAAACAATAAGAAATTTCTGATTTGTCAGCATATATATGAAGTTTAAGTCAAAATCATGCATTTGCATAACCAATTTGAGCCTCATTAGGTCCCCACAATCCAATCATATTCTATTCTCTCTTGACTTTGCACAAGTTCAAAAAAAGATATTGCCTTCTACGTGTTATTTATGTGTAAAAAAAATTAAAAAAAAAATAGCTTAGAATTTTCAAAAGTCATTCATGTTAGTCTGTAAATTTTTCAAAGAGGTTTCCAATAATACGAAAAATCTAATTTCAAACAAAATTTTAGTAGACATTTTCCAATCGCTCGACTATTTTCGACGAGAGAGGATAAAATGGTCTTTTCACAAAATCTACAAACCATAATTGGACTGAGTTTTTTATATTTTATTTTGGGCCTATTTTATTATTTAGTTTGGAATAATTTTCAAAAAAAAAAAAATGTGGCCCAAGCCAAAAATCCATTTTGAAAATATTTTTCCTCACTCAATTAGGGTTGGCAAAAAATTACAAAAAAGTGCGCACAACCCTATATGGCCAAATCGGTCCTCTCCCATGGTCGAATTGAATCCGACAGCTAATTTTTCGCTATGGTAGTTTTTGACTCTTCTGCGTAGTTGCTCTTATTGGTATCTAAAAATGTGCAATCCCACATCATTTTTTAGCTAAAAAATACTCTTCTAAGAGCCTATATATCCCCCCTTCACCTTCAATATTTTTCGTTCAAGGTTTGAGTTCAGAAGCCCTTTCTGAATTTAAGAGATTACTCTAAATACTTAGAGAAATCTTGGCTATCTAGCATCTTTGTGCATTGACTTGGCCATTCTAGTGTAAAGTTTATGTGTTGAGTCTAGTCTCGAGCCATTCATCTAGAGATGAGCGGGAGTTCTGCCAAACAAAGAGAAAAACTTAAGGATAGCAAGGAATTCACCATTGCAGTTCTATGGTTTGAAAGGTTAGTGTTTTTCTTTCTTTTTATTAATGTTGTTCATTTTTTGTCTTTCATTTTCAGTCATATTGGGTGAGTCCTTTTGTGCGAACCTAGTTGGGATATATGGCCTTCACTTTGATGCTTATAACACCTACTAGGTCTTGTTCTTTATTGATGTTTGGTGTAAGGTTTTATCCTTGATTCTTATTCAATAAAGTTCTTTTGCCGATCAAAAAAATTTATATATTGGCATATGACCCATATGCGATCAAGTCATTGTTGGCTTAGTTGCATATAGGTTAGCTATCTAAAGTTTTTATTTATTTTGTATATCCCCCATGCATACTTCCAATCCTTGTCTACCCTTTTATATTTTGCTCATTCCCCTCTTTGGGCATACCTCCTATTCTAGCTCTCACATACTTTTATTTATTGATACTTGTCATGTATAAGTCTTGCCAATTTTAGATTTAAAATTATCATGATGATTAGTAGAGGTTAGGTGAGGTGGGTGCGTAAAATATTGGTATCTCGTACCTAAGTCCCATAATTGAATTCTCTGGTAGTGATTGATCAGTTGCTTTTGGGAGTCATTTTACGATTCTTGGTTTTAAAACCAAGTGGAGACTCTGAGTTTGGATTATTTTTTGTTTGGATACTTAACCTATGTGGAAAAAAAATTTTAAAAAAATCTATATAGGTCAGATGATGTATTTAAGTGGGCTTCAGTTAAACTCTATAATGCGATATGAAAATTATAAGCCGATTGCGCTTATCCTCCAAGGTGGCCGGTTGCATTTACACCTACTGCTACTAGTGAATAGCAATTTACCTTTCATCTACTAACCTATACATTTTGACCCACTTAAAAGAACAAAAAGTAGAGCTCCCTTCTACAGGAGTAATTGGTTTTTTGGTGGTCGTCAATATGTGCATACGGGGTCATAAATACAGGGGTAAACTCATTAATTACTAATAGTTTAAGGGTTTTTGGTAATACTCAACATACAGACCACACAATTTTTTTATTTTATTTATTTATTTATTATTTTTTTTTGGTACATTACTTATACATAAAAAGAAATCAAACAACTAGTTTGACTGAGCAAGCTAGTTATATTTTGGGTTATCTTACACATGAAGGGAGGTTTTGTCGTTGTCACAGACATGACATGTTATTCAGAGGTTGTGTTCCAAACCTTAATACACTACATAGTACAAACACCAATATTTTATTTTTCTTAATTTATTTTTAAGAGTACTAGTGATGGCCATCAAGCAGTGTCATCTTCTCCATTTTCAATCTTCATTTGCTCTAAGAATGACTTTCCGTTGAGCTTGCGAGAGAAAAAATATTTGTAGTACTTTTCCGTACTAATCCTTTTGAATAATGGAGGGTTTTGTGGGTTTAGAAGGCTAGCTGCAGGTCCGACCTCTGCTTCAAACTTAGGGTTGAAAAACATTGCAATGGACATTCTCTCTTTTACTGAATTCACCGTTGCTCTGTGTTCAATGCTATTGTAGAGACCGTTACTCAATATCTGCAAATTGATACCACAAATCTCAATAAAATATCACATTATGCCACTTGGCAAAACGTAGAATTTTACTAGACCATAGCCTGAGGAAATCCATGAAAATAGTTTAAAAATTAATTTCATACATTGTTCACTTAACTATTATATTTTTCTTACATTGACAAGAGCCATCCAATATTTTTGTACAATACTTAAAGTCAATACTATTTTTCACGTATTGCCCTCGAATTTGGGTCACATAAAATGTCATATATCGTCTAGTGGTGTCCAAGTGGCTTTTTAATTTAATTTTTTATTTTTATTTATCAAATTTTGAACAGTCATTCGTTATTGGGCCAATTAAGAAAACTTAAGATTTGACAATCGTAATAAAATAAACACTAAATATTTTATTTTGTCATTTTAAATCTTAATTTTTTAATTTGTTTTCAATTTAAACCATCAACTTATTTCCGTTAAATTTACTGACGTAAAAAGAATGTTTTAGTTATTAAACTCAATTAAAAAAATTATATTTTAAACATTTTATTTACACTTACATTAAATTTAATAACTAAAACACTTTTTTTTCCGTCCATTTTACTCAACGAAAACGGGTAGATGGTTTTAGATTGAAAACAAATTAAAATAGGGTTTAAATTAACAAAATTTAAAATTCGTAATTTATTTTGTTACAAAAGTCAAACCTTAGGGGTTTTTTAATTTTCCAAAAATAAAGTTTTAAGTACCAAATTAAAGTAAAATGTGATAAAACTAAAAATTGAAATTTTAATACTAAATACTTAATATTTGAAGTTGAATGCTTGTTTGATAAAAATATGAGTATTGAACTAAAAAAAATTATTTGAATTTGAAATATAAAATATGTTATTTTAAATTTTATCTTTCAATTTTTATGAATTGTGGTGGTGAGGTGTTGGTGGTGGAGGAGGAGGAGAAACCGGCAATGTTTATGACAATGGTGGCTATGGTGCCAATGTCAATGGTAGTGAAAATGGAGATGGAAGTAGAGATAGAGGTAGAGGTACAGATATAGTAGTTGTCGTGATAGTGGGAGGTGTAGTGGAGCCTATAGATGTGGCAAATGGATGGGTATAGGCGAATCTGTTAGAAATTGGACGTCCATGTGGCATGACCCATAACCCATGACCCTTTTGAACCTTATCCATGTAAGTTTAAATTTGAATTCAAGACTTATTTAGATAACCTACTCTTGATATCTATATCTATCATATCAACTGATATTAATAGATTGATATATATGGTTAGAGATCTGATTATATATTTGAATAATATATTGAAATTAGATACGTTATGTGGTTTTTACCCCATAACATATTTTATATACTCTCTCTAACTCTCTCCCAATAAAATAATGATCAAACTTTTTTACACTGTGACTTGTGTGAGTGATACTCATATTATGGTATCATTCCACTGTTGGGTGTTCGTTATTCACATTTTTAAAGCATGTGGTTTACCCACAAGATTCTCCACTTCAGGTTCTATCACCTAAGGCATGATCTGAAATTTTTACCCGCTGCGTTATACTTGTTTTACATTGGTATCAGAGCTTTAATGAGTATTTTCGTGCTTATTTTTATGTATTAAAATAGGTGTATAATTTTATATAAATATATACACGATATAAGATTGAAAATTAATAATTTTTTAAACTATCTATGATCGACCTGAAATGTACATATGTTGTAATATATTTAATGTAGAACATATCTGCAAAGTTTCATGAAAATTCAACGGTTAGATTTCAAGAAAAATGGAGACCAATTTTACATTTTCGATGTAACTAAGTCACATAAAGTTTTCTTAGTAAAAGTGACGTGAATAGAGTTTTGGAACTCTATAAGATAGAAAATTCTAAGCGTAGCGCTTTATATAGCCTAGTTAAGAATGGAGAGAAATTTCCAATATCCTAGAGACAGTGGGAGCGATGTGCCTACTATTGGATTACTCCATTAGAGAAGAATACTTTATATTCTTTGTTGCGTAGTAGCGAATGTGAAAATTTTTCACGTCATCACTAGGTGATTGAGAGGGAAACATTCATAATTGCGCCATAAGATGATAAAGAGTCTAGGATAATGCCAAAGGCTCTAGTCCCCTGTTTTTAGAAAGTGGATCAACATTGCACAGTTTAAGACAAAGTCTTTGAGGATTAACCATTTCTATAATTCTGTTGACTTTCCATTATGACGCGAAACTGTTCTAAAGTTATGCGCAATTTAGATAGTCATTGTTGAGTCATAAGGCTCGCTACATACCGAAAAGTCGCACCATTGAGAAAAGTGTAGACCATGAGAAGACTTCCTCCTGGAGAGTGAGATTATTTTGACTGAGGCTATGATTGACATAAGTTCGGACCATTGATTTCTAGACATTGTAACCCAACTTCTTGTTAGAGAATTGGATAAGTAGATCCGTAGGGATTTTACCTTCTACTTTTATGGTGAAAAGTTAGGAGCACAAAAAAGGTTGGTAGTTCCAATAAATCTTTTACAGCCTAAAACAATTATCCAAATAGTGGTTCTTAGATTTCGTCAAGCCATGATAGACCAACGATGATCGATGAAGACCACTGAGGCATGATCAATGGTCCAAAAAAGTTTTTCCTTACTTAGTCATTATGAGTTAGGAATTTATAAGGTTGTTGCCACCTAGAGTGGGATGTCCTCTGTTTTAGATATGATGGACATGGGTGATGTAATTTATATGCTCGGATATACGATCATTAGGGATTGTTTTGGGAGAATTCCTAGTTTGTCTTTGATGACTTACATAAGGAATATCTTAGAATGATTCTAGATGCAAATTGCAAACCCATTAACTTACCTATCGGTAAAAGCCGGAGCCTTAGCTATTGAGTGAATTCTCGGATTGTTTTTGAGAGAAACATATGACCTATATTCCTTGTGTTTTTTTTGTTGTGGAAGCCTGAAGTACGCTATGTGGGCATATTCGGCATAATAAGTGTTATCTTTGGTAAATGGTCAACTAAGTTGTTTAGACATTAACCTTGCTCATTAGACTCTGGATAGAATGTTTTACTAGTAGTATATTAATTTGTTCCTTGTAAGGTTGAATGCGTTAGTTGAGCGCATCTTGAATGAACACAGATTGGTCACCAAAATATCTTTAGAGAGGTTATTGCGCAAGAGGTAGTGATATTGAATCACTTTATGTGAGGCGCACATGGTGGATTCCGTTGTATATACTTATCGCAAGAGGTGCTGATAAGGCTTATGTTTGGAATCTAGAATTGTGCAAGCTGTGATCGTATTTTTTTAAAAAAATCAATCACTTATTTGCTGTGAGATGTTGAAATGTTGACACTATTATAGTTTGTGTCATAATGATTAACAGATGATGATGTCAGCAACAAGATTGGCTCACTCACACGAGCAATCACCCTTGGTGCTTGGGAGCAAGCAAGGATGAGACTAGTGGTTTATTTTTATTTGGAGCCAAGAGAGGCTTAAATTGTCCACTATGTATGCCGCCTTGGTTACAAACCAAGATGAGGCCATGTTAAGGACCAAACATGGATGTTAGTATCCACTTTCCATGTTGTGCCTGTTATGATTGGCCAGATGCGGGATCTCATTTGGCGCCTGGAAGGTGAGCAAATAGAGAATTTGGATTAGGCGCTAGAAAGCGACTAGACTAAGATCTGTACGGTGTATCGAGTATGACGTCACTCTTTTGAAAGAGTTACTCCACCGTAACATGTATTCATACTATATGTGATTGGCTACCGAGTAATGAGGTGAGAGAATGGATCCCTGTTTGCTCACCATGTGAGTCTTACGTGTCATTATTGATATGACTTTCATTTATGTACCCTTTTGTGACCTTTGACTATGTTATACGGTAAGGGGTTGGTGTTCTACTACTTTGGTGTTGCCTGCGGTCATATATGATTCGTTTTTTAGGGACATCACTGAGAAATCGATCAATCCTAAACTAAATGGCATGAGGGTAAAGAGAAGATCACCTAGTATTACACCACTGTTGTATATTCATTGCCGGCAACTCACACCGCTCTGTATGAGAGATGGATTGAGTGTGAATATATTGCAAGAATTGAGAGGGTCAAACATGCTCTTTTGAGGTATTAGAGATGTTTTTTTGGACCAGTGTAATTAGATCAGTCAGGGGTATATGAGATATTATTTTTATTTTAGGGTTGATGTCTCTATGCTGGCTCATTTTTTAGTTTCTAGTATAGAACTCCTACATGCAGGTGTTCTTAGCAGTCGCACGGTGCATTGGCTAGAATGAGATTGTTCATTTTTTTAGAGAGATTGAGATAAGAGATGTGGCTGTGTCATGCCAACTCATGTACGAGTGGGAGATGTTAGAAATTGGGGGCCCATGTGGCATGACCCATGACTCTTTTGAACCTTATCCATATAAGTTTGAATTTGAATTCAAAACTTATTTGGATAACCTACTCTTGATATTTATATCTATCATATCAACTGATATGGATAGATTGATATATATAGTTAGATATCTGATTATATATTTGAATAATATATTGATATCAGATACATTTTGTGGTTTTTACCCCATAACATATTTTATATACTCTCTCTCTCTCTAACTATCTCCCAATAAAATAACGATCCAGTTTTTTTACACTGTGACTTGAGTGGGTGATACTCATATTGTGATATCACTCCACTGCTGGGTGTTCGTTGTTCGCATTTTTAAAGCAAGTGATTTACCTCACAAGATTCTTCGCTTCAGATTCTATCACCTAAGGTATGATCTGAAATTTTTACCCGCTGCGTTGTACTTGTTTTACAGGATCAAAATGGGCTATGTGTCTAACGCAACATAACCCAAACTAGCCCATTTAATAAATAGGTTTAAACGGATTGGGTTGAATTAGATACAAGTTGGACAAATAAACCCAATCAATCCATTTACTTCATCTATTTTTTAAAAATTATTTTTATTTTTTTTAAAAATATATTTTTATTTTTTTTATATATTTTTAAAGTTATTATTATTTATTTATTATTTTTAAAATTTTTAGCTTTTTTTTTATTTTTCAATTTTTTAATGACGATGATAACAGTGGCTAAGAGAAAGAGGTGGCGGCAAAGTAGTAGTGGTGGTGGTGGAATGACAGTAGTCAAGGAGAAGGTTGTGTTGGTGGTCTGTCAGGGGCAGCGGTGGTGGAGTAGTGATGGTGGTGGCAGTGGTAGTGGAGGAGTGACAATGGTGGTAGTGGTGTGTCTGCAATGATGGTGGTGGTGGTCGAGATGGTAGTAATGGTGATGGAGGAGGTGTTGGTGGCAGTGATGGTAGTGGTGGTGGTAGAGTGGCAGTAGTGGTAGTGGAGTTGTGATAGTGGTGGAGGAGTGACGATAGGGTAGAGGTGGATTGGAGGTAGAAGTGGTGTCCATTTGGACCAGCTTAAATGGGTACCCACGTCCAACCTATGTAAACCCAATTTTAATTGGTTGACAATGAACAATCCATTTAAGCTCATTTATTGAATTGGGTTATATGGGTTTTAAATGTGAATAATTGGGTGGGTTCATGAGTTTAGATTGGGTTTGCCACCTCTAAGTAGAAGTAGACAAGTACTGATGGTGGTTATGGCAACAATGACTATAATGGTGGAGATGGCGAGTTCTAATAGAAATTAAAATTGGAGCGGTGGTGATAGTGATGGTGTGGTTGTAGTAGTGAAATAATAGTAGTGACTGTGGTAACGATAGCAACGTTGATGAAGTTAGTAGCGGTAGTTGCAGAGGTGGCAGCGGTGACAATAACTGTGGTGGTAATGTGATAGTAGTGTTGACGATAGCGATTGCACGATGGAAGTGTATTAGTGATGATTATGATAGTAACAACAGTGAGAATTTCTAATAGCGAACAAACTTATGTACCAGCACTTACAAATTTAGTTAGAATCATATTATTTAAAATTTTTAATTTTAATTTACATTTTAAAAAGGAAAATACCCCGCGGCTCGAATGTCTTCGGCTCAACTGGCTCGAAAGTACGTTTTCTCTCTCCTCTCTATCTCTTTGGCTTTTCTCTCTTCTCTTCTACTATATTCTCGAATGAAAAAAAGGATTGAAACACTCATCACTCTCACCTCTCTCTTTGCTCATCCACCTCTCTCTTTACTCATCACTTTCATTCCACAGATCTCTCTCATCTCTCTTGTCTCTGGTAAACCTTCCAATCGCTCTTTGGTCACGGTAGGAGGACGAACAAACAAGGACAGACGACGAAGGAGCAAGACGAACAACGACAGAGGACGAACAACGACCTACGACAGCAATGACGATCCAATCGCTCTTTGTTTGATGTTTTCAAACAAAGTTGTTTTCATTTAAAAATAAAATAAAATAAAAAAATAAAAATAAAAATTTGGAATCAGTTCACTGATCTGTGCAAAAAAGTGGTCCATATATGTAACTCGTGAAGAAAAAAAGAACAATTCTTGAACCCCTTCAATAGGTACCGGGCACAATTCTTGAATCCCTGTGTTTTGAAAATTTAAACACTTAATTGTTTGATGTTTCCTAACAAAGTTGTTTTCATTTAAAAAAAAAGAAATTGGAAGCAGTTCACCATAGCAGAAATGTGTTTGGTAATAGCTACCTCTCTCTCTCTGTTCTACCACACGGTGCTCTTCTCTCTCTCTCTCTCTGTTCTATTTTTCTTTTTTTCTTCTTTTTTTTTCCCCAAATGAAATGTCTGGGTGTGGTGACCAATAGCAACAAGTTGAGTACAAAACTAAATTCGGGCCTCTCGAGCCATCATATTTTCGAGCTACGTAGCGGCACCGTTTTAAAAAATATTTAATTTTTTTGGTGATATGAATTGTGGTTATTAATTTTCACTAATTTAGAATTGTTTGAATATCTACTATTTCTTAAACATCCTTACCTATTAATTTGTAAAAATAAGATTAGTACTATACATATTATCTAAACATGTGGACACCTAATATGTTGATGCAATTTCCCACTTTAATTCAAAACAAAATGGCAATTATTGTGCTATTAGGGTTATGTAAATGAAATTGTTTAGAATAAAATACAAATAATAAAATTGCCTATCTCTCTTTTAAATGAGTTAGTGGTCAATAATTCAATATGATATCAGATCAATAAAAACAAATTACAAAAGAAAGAAAGAAATAAAAAAAAAAAAAATAATGAAAAATAGGTGAATGATATATATATATATTTATATATGCACTTGTTTGGTACCTACACACATTCAACCTAAATAAACCAAGAGGTTTGAAAATGATTGGTAGGGTTTAAAAATTTTGACCATTCGGAAATAGGTGAATTATTTATATATACATATGCAACCCGCAAAGGTAGCCCAGTTGGTTGAGAATGAGGGATTAGGGACCTAGGAATTTGCTCCTCTCTAGGTCTCAGGTTCGAATCCTACCCCCAGCTGGCTACTGGCGGGCTACTGCGTCTTTGCCCGGTCGATCGGCTCAGGATCCCGAGATTAGTCGAGGTGCGTCACTCCGAAGGGGTACTGGCCCGGATACTCGGTTATCAAAATATATATATATATATGCACTTGTTTGTTTCCTACCAATACCATGTTTGAAAGACACATTCAACCTAAAAAAACCAAAAGGTTTGACAATGATTGGTAGGGTTTAAAAAATTTAACCGGATCAGAACAAGTAATTTGGAAGAAATATTTAATTTTGAAGAGAGAGTATGGAAAACAAACCTCTAGAGTGTCTCCTACATTAACAACAAAGGCATCTGGGAGGAAACTAACAGGAATCCAAATCCCATCTTTTTTAATTTGGAAGCCCTCAACTCCATTGACTTGCAGAAGAATGGTGATGCCGGTAGCATCGGAGTGAGGCCTCAGGCCCATCACCTTCTCTGGTTGGGGACATGGAGGATAGTATGACATTCTCACTGATTGCACTCCATCGTCAAACATCTCCTCCATCTCTCCCTTGTCAATCTTTAGAGCTTTTGCCATCAACCCAAAAGCTGTCATTGCAAGTTTTTGCAACTCTGAGATGTAAGACTCCAATGTTTCCCTACGAAAAAAAAAAAAAAAAAAAAAAAAAAATAAACTACGTTTGGTTTCAGCCAAGAAACAGCTACTTTTTTTTGGATATTTGGCTATTTGGAAACTTCCAAATAAATCTTCTTTTTTTTTTTTAACATTTCGTCTTTAGCGACTTTTTTTTTTCCCGAAATTGTCAATTTTTTTTTACTTTTCTCCAATCCGCTTGAGTAGGCGAATCTAAAAATTAGTTTTCTGAAAAGTTCCGAAAATAAATTTTAAAAGTCAAAATAGGTCAAAAAGTCTCATATTTTTGTCCTTTTTTGGACTTTTTAAAAAAATTTAAAATTTCTCTGTTCATCTCTTCATGTAAAATCTAGAAGCCTAAATTTTTTTGAATTTAAACAAAACAAAATCATTAAAGACGAAAATAAGTTAACAAAAAACATTGTAACAGTTAAAATTCATCTTATTCGGTTGACAAATGAGAATATATATATATATATATATATTTTGAACATGATCTACCACGATTGGTAAGTGCTAAAATGTCATTTTTTTTGTTCTTTTGTTTTTGACTTTTCTTTTTTCTTTTTTCTTTTTTAACTTTTTTGTCTTTAGTTATATGTTTTAATTTTTAAAATTTTCAATTCTTTAGAAGGATTTAAAAAGTCAAATAAAAAAATTTAAATTTCAGAATTTTTTTGAAAAGTTCCAAAAATAAATTTGAAAAGTCAAAATAAGTAAAAAAATCTAATATTTTTGTCTTTTTTTTGAACTTTATAAATTTCTTACTCCATCTCGTCAAGTAAAATTTAGAAGCTTAAAATTTTTTGCATTAAAAAAAGTAGTTATTAAAGACGAAAATAAGCAAACAAAAAACATTATAGTTAAAATTCTTCTTATTTAGTTGACAAATGAGAATATATATATATATATAACTTTATTCTAAAAAGTCAATAACCAAATAGAAAAAATTACTAAAAAGGCATTTGCAAACTAGAACTTAATTCATGGTTTAATCAGAAATATTATATGCCCAAAAAAATATTATGTGATTTAAAGTCACATCTCATTTTAAATCTTAAATACTTTTTTTTGTTGTTTTATATTGTGTGTTTTAAGTATACCGGTACGTGGACATATAAGAACATGTTCTTGTGTAGAAATACACACATAGATTCATTACAACGTGTGCGTGTGTTTGTGTGTGTGTGTGTGTGAGAGAGAGAGAGAGAGATAGAGAGAGAGAGAGAGGACCTAAGCGAAGAAGGGAGCTGTGGAAGTAGGTGTGCCTTCCTTCTGTGGACGGGGTTGACCACCATATAAAACCTATCTGCCCAATCAAGTTTTTCATCATCTCGCATGAGCAAGGTTTGTCCATACCCTTCAACATCACCTGGCTGTATCTTGTATTTCATCTTCTCTTCCAAAGGAAGCTTGTAGAATTCTTCAATTTCATATTTCAGTTTCTCCACTAGTAAAGAGCTAACTCCATGGTTCACCAACTACAAACATTAGCACTACCATATATTAGTACATATATTTTCATTTTCTACACACACACATCTTGGTATGGTTCTTCTTCAAATGTAAGGGGTTGTTCTCCAAAATATTGGGGTTTTTTTCCAAGTTTAAATCTATATTTGAGAAAACTTGAGCAGTCTGTGAGATTTATCATGGATCTCGTTTTGATAATCCAAACAATTTTTTTTGTGAAGTCCACCGCGTATATTATTAATAGAAAAAATTAGGTCGACCGATTGTCGTAACATTTTCATTAGTCCATCCAGTTTTTTGGAGACAAAACATAATAAAATAAAATAAAAAGTTATGATTATGATGTCAACTTAATTTTTTTCATAAATAATATATATATATATATATAGGGTGCCTTACCAAATCAACAATTCAAATAATTAAAACGGGACTCACGATAGCCCTACGAGCCCTTAAATTCTCCCAAATTCAAATTTGAAAAACTATATCAAAAGTACTTACCAAAATTATTTTCTTGTAGTACGGTCCACCTTTAGTTCTTTTGTTTTTTTCTTGGATGTTTGCATATGATTGGTCGTGGATCAGGTGTCAACTTAATTAGAATGTGTTCGTAGTAATGCTTTTCCTTACCTTTCTATTGATGTAATTTTTTTTAATTTTTTTTTTTAATGTATCGGTCTTAAACTCTCTTTTTATACCAATACACTTTTTTTTTGCTGTCAATCAAAAAAATTCATAGAAGGAAAATCTTGGTTCATATAGTCCACAAAGGATCCTCTAGAGTGTTTTTTTCTTAAAGTTTTTTAAAGTGGTTTATTGTGTGGTTGAGATTTAATGCTAAAAAATTAATGTGATTTGTCATTAAATCTCAACCACACAATGCACCACTCTAGGAAACTTTAGGAAAAAAAAACTCTAGAGGATCCTTGCTCACCCTAAACGCGATTTGATTGTGCAATCAACTGAACTAGCTCTACTCTTTCGGTTTTCTTTAATAATAGCTACCTTTTTTGCTCATAAAATAAAATTTAAAATAGGCTAATTTAATTAGCCAAAATTATTGTTTTTTTTTTATCAGCAAAATAAAAGATTCATTGATGACAAAAGCAACGTAGATGCAAAATTATATCAATAAATAGGGAAAATACACTAAGCATCATAGCTAACCTCCACAATCTCAACTAAGTTTGCACCCCAAAGAAAGTATAATCATTTACAAGCACTTGATTAAAGATTGGTGAAAAGCCAATCAAGAGCAAACAAAATCCGCAAAAACAGAACAAACAATCAACATAATTCTTCACCAGCTCCAAACCATTGAGCTTCCAAAACAGCAGCAAAAGCAAACAATCAACATTATTGCACTTGACTAAGAGATTAATAATTTGAGGCTTGTTATCTCTCTTTATGATACAGCTTCCGATGTACTAACGAAGGCAAGATAACAAAAAATAAAATAAAATGAAGATATATGTGAGATGAAAACCTGAAAGATTCCCCATTCTTTGCAAATGGAATGCAACTTGTCTAGTTGAAAATCAGTTGCTTCACCCATAAGTAATTGTTGCATGTCAACAGTAGGGATGGTTTGGGAAGTGGCATCTTCTGAGAGAATTGGACAAGGTTCATTATCTAAATGAATATAGCGCTCTGGGATGACAAGCATGGGCTCTTTGGCAAGCTCTTGAATGGTCGGTGATGATGCCATTTGCTTTAGGTGTTACAATGGCAAACACCTAAGATAAGTATTTATAGAGGAACAATAATGAGTCAGTGCATGAGATTTTTATTAAAATAGTGGGCAAATTACAAACACCCCCTCGAGTTGTGGTGAAAATACAGATTCCCTCTTAGGTTTAAAATTACAAATTGCTCCCTAAGATTTATATTTTCATAACAAATTGTCTCTTGAGATTTTTATTTTCATACAGATTCCAAACCCAGACTATAATACAAGGTCTTAAGCCGCGTTTGTTTCGAGAAAATAAAGAGAATTAAAATAAGGGGCGTGTGGGGCATGTTTGTCATAGTTCAACCATGGCACGACAGATACCATTCGAAATTGGTAGTAATTATTTGCGTTACATTTGAATTGAATGATTTGGACCCAAAAAAAAAAAAAAAAAATTTTTTTTGTTTTTGTTTTTTTTTTAAAAAAAAAAAAAAAAGAAAGAAAGAAAGAAAAAGAGATTGCTTTCGTGGCTTGAATCCAATATAAATGAGATTCATAAATACATGATGTATTGACAAATGATAGACCTTGAAGGTAGAAAGTAAGGGTGATCATCACCCTTATGATTTGAAAATATTCTTATTATACTAGTGTTTATTATTAATTATCTTCAGCTTTGTAATTAATATATGACAAAATATATTTTTTATTGTATTTTGATTTTTATTTGTAGTGTTTTGAATAAATTGTCACATTAGGTCAATTATATATAAAATAGGTTATGTACATCTTATTACATATTTATTTGATAAATATTATAAAAAAAAATTGTGATAAATGTTACACAATTTTTTGACAAAGTTGTTACAAATTTATTTATTTATTTTTTTTTATCAACAAAAAAAGAATCTTTATTGATGAAGAAATAAAATACAAGCGATGAAATTTACATCAATAAAGTAGGGTAGTGTATCCAGCATCATAGTAAACTCAACAATCCCAACTAAGTTGGCATTGAAGAGGTTGCTCAATCATATGCTACTACTTAGCCTAAGATTTGAGAGAGTCTAATCGAAACAGTCAAGAAAGCAAACGAAAACAATAAAAACAACAGATCACCTCAAAGGTAAAATAATCTCCTAAGCTATAGATACACACCCAAGGCCAAAAACAGCTCTGTGGCATCAACAATCAGCAGCAACTAGCAGATATACACCCAAAGTTGTTACAATTTGTGTTTGCTGACATAAAGTTGTATGATGTGTCATGCTTTTCTTATCGAAGTGTTACTCAGCAATTATAGATTATATCTGTTAGTAATGGCGCCCATGTGGCATGACCATTCAAACATAATTTGGATCTTATCCAAATAGGTTTTGAATTAAATTCAAACCTATTTAGGATAACCACTCACGATATAGATATTATCAGTTTTAACTGATATGGATAAATAATAATAATATAATATATATCTGATATATGGTTATGGGTAACTAAGAGAGAAACAACGTATGTTTTGTTTCTACCGATATACTGACTCTCTCCCAAGAAACAACGATCAAGTCATTTGCACTGTGGTTTGTGTGGGTGATATTCACCATTGTAATATCACCCCACTGCTGGGATTGATTGATTAGATTCTGGAAGCACGTGATTTATCCACGAGGTTTTAGCATAAATGAGGTATGATCTAAACACTTTATTCCGCTGCATGTTTTGTGTTTTGATTTACAATATCATATTTCAATTTATTGAATAACATTTCAATGGAAGTGCCATCTAAAAAAACATCCTCTATCCATCTTACAATAACGACAATTCAGAAAATTATCTTGAAAATGAGGGGGATGGTGTCGATTTAAAATTGGCCAATGCAAGTCACACCGAAAATGATTTTGGTACATAAATGCCCTATATAGTTAAGAAACAAGTCAGCCAAACATTGATGTAGAACTTGAAACAGAGCAAGCAATTTGCCCACCACATCACAACAGAGCACCCATTTTGTGAGCGTCAAACCATGATCTAATTGAATTCAGTAATTCCAGAACACATCCACCTAAATTGATCACACTGAACTAAAGTCAGCAGAGAGTGGCATAACAAAGACACAGCCTGAAGACCACAAAATACACAATGTTTGCCTTTTCCAAGAATCCATTTCCACACAAGACTAAGAAGAGCTATAATTATCCTTCGCTTTCTTTTTTCCTTCCCCCAGCTTCATACTTCAACAAGAATGAAATTGTTGTGGAAAATATTTTCAGAAAAAATCAATTTAATACAAATAAATAAAAATAAAACAACAGAAGAAAGTCCTTGCAGAAGAAATTTTACAAAAGTTGGAATAAATTGGGACTGAGATTAGTATTTGAACATTGTGATTTTAAGATAGAAATTCATAATCGCCTCTGATGCTTGGATTAATGGATGTCCCGCATAGTGGCGGACACAAGAATGCTTTGTACGAAAGGCTAGTTATATGCATTTAGAATTGATAGTAAAATTTTAATTATTTTATTATTGACAGAGATATCATTTATATGTTATAGACAAAGATCCACTTTTACAACCATAAAAATGAAAAAAATTAATAAAATATGCAAATAAAATTTTAATATAGACACGTATAAAACAAAATGTATTGTATAAATAATTTTTTCACATAAGATCATCTCCAACTAAGACTCAAATCTTTTATCAAATTTAAATTTAATGACAATTTGGTGAAAACAATGTTCCAACTGTTTCACCAAATTGGTATCAAATGAAGGGAGCCTTACTTTTTTCATCAAATCAAGAGAGTGTTTAACTTTCATCAAATCTCGCAGGTGACTATTAGTAGACAACCAAATGAATGACCGGCAGACAACCAAGTGGACGATTACCCAGCCATTCTCCTAGTCGTCCTCTCAGTCGACTCGTTATATGATGAAAATTAAAAATTTAGCATTAGAACACTTGGTATCAGATGAAACTTTTAACCGAAATCTTAACCCAAATTTAATGAAAAAAAAAAAACTTTAGAGATGCTTTAATATAAGAATTAAAAAAAATATTACATATGTATTAACAATGGAGACTATATGTATATATTTGCCTTTGTATATGTAATGACATAAATGATCCAGAAAAAGAAAAAATATACAAAATTATATAATAATGTAACGGCATTGAAATATATCACTTTAAAAATTCTATATAAAATTTTTGTAATTATAATTTTTTTTTTTTTTTTTCATTGAAATTGTATGAATACAAAAGTCCAAATTCTAAGAATCACGTATCTAACTTATCACAATTAATGGGTTTTGACTTTTGTAGTACAAGTTTTAAAATGGGTAAATAGTTGGCTTTGGTTTGGGGAGCCGATCCCTAAAATAACTTTCATCTTCGCAGGGACCACAGCCGCCAAGCTCCCCCTCCACCCCTTAGTAGTCCTGTCGGCAGGATATAATATCACCACATAGAAATTGTATAATTTTTTATGTGTAAAGTAAATTAATTTATCTTATATACGGTATCTTTTATAGGGACGAGAATGAATAATTTATCTTATGAATATTTATAGAGATTCAATAATATATCATTTTTTTCTTTTTTTTTTCCTCCACCCCTTAGTAGTCCTGTCGGCAGGATATAATATCACCACATAGAAATTGTATAATTTTTTGTGTAAAGTAAATTAATTTATCTTCTATACGGTATTCTTTATAGAGACGATAATGGATAATCTATTTCTTGAACATTTATAAAGATTCAATTTAAATATATAAATTTTTTTTTTTATCCGTCTAGTAAAGTAAGTGATATTCTTTAAATATTCACAAGGAATGGGTCGGAGATGGGTAGTCACTAATTTCCCCATATATATATGTATATATATATTTTAATTTTTAAGATTCACAACCAAAAACTAAATATACATTCAATCTTTTTTTTTTTTTTAAGGTTCACAACCTTTTTTTTTCTCCACAACCAAAACTAAATATACATTCAATCTTATTTTATTTTATTTTATTTTATTTAACTCAACAACAAAATCAAATACACATTAACTAACATTGTCACATTATTCTTGTCAAATTTTATGTATATCTAAAATTTTTAAAATTTATTTAGAAAAATTCTATTCTTACAAAAAAATTCCATCTTTTTTTTTAATTTTTTTTTAAATTTTATGTATCTCTTTCTCCTCTCTGTTATTTGATCTTCGATAATCTGAAGGTGAGTTATTACTCTTGTTTCCATCTTCTTCTTCTTCTTCTTCTTCTTCTTCTTCTTTTAAAAATTTTTATTTACATTTGTAGAATGAATTTTCTAATTTCAATATCTCCTGCAATTGTTTTATTGGATTTATCTCTGATTTGATGGTAACCTTAGATTGAATTTGTCAATTTCCATCTTAACTTGCAATCACCTTAATTAAAATTTTGTACATTTTTGTCTTCAATTTTCATGTTTTGGTTATATTAATTGTGCATTTTTTATCGATAGTCACAATTTTGTCACTGCTAAATTGTCGTCATCGCAAATCGCCATTGCTGTAGTAAGAGGATGAGAGATGGTGAGAATTAGAACTCTAATTGTCAACAGAGTAGCGAAAACATATGGAGAAATTATTTTTCGATGTACCTAAAAAAAAATATGGGGAAATTAGTGGGTACCCATCCCCGGTTGAGATTTAAAGAACATCACTTACCCTACTCGATAGACAAGAAGAAAGGGGAAACCCAAGTATTTGGGTTGGTCTCCATGGATACCCACATAGTAGGTTATCCATTGTCATCCCTACTCTGTTGACAATTAGAGTTATAATTCCCACTCTCTCTCATCCTCTCACTACAGCAACAACGATTTGCAATGACGACAATCTAGCGGTGACAAGATTGTAACTATCGATCAAAAACGCGCAATTAATCATAACCAAAAACATAAAAATTGAAGACAAAAATGTACAAAATTTCAATTAAGATGATCACTAGTTAAGGTGAAAATTGAAAAATTCAATCTAAGGTTACCATCAAATCAGAA